ATATATATATATATATATATATATATATATATATATATATATATATATATTATATATATATATATATATATATATATATATATATATATATATATATATATATATATATATATATATATATGCATATATATATATATATATATATATATATATATATATGCAAGTAAATCACTGTAGGTGCGTATCTAGGTATAACAGCTTTCAGTAATACATCTTTCAGGGTGAGTACTCACCCTGAAGATGTGAATCACACGAAACAAACGCTCCATTATATATATATATATATATATATATATATATATATATATATATATATATATATATATATATATATATATATATATATATTGTTACGAACCACCAATTGTCCTGATCTACCTACCCAGCACCACGAGCAACGCCATCTAGGGACGAAACCCGAGTATGACTAGTCTTAGTTACCACTCCGGGGTTTCCCTTCTCCATATCCTGGTTGTTGCGTCACCTCCTCAAAGTCTTCTTCATCAGCTCCAGTTCGATGAGAGTTCAGTTCACTCTGGGAAGTGACCACAGGATCACCTATCCTGGAAACCTATGGCACAGTGACTACCTACCGTCTTCTACAATACTCAGCCTTACTCGTCAGCCATCTCAGCTCCGCACTTAAGTATTTGTAATCTTATATTGCCTCCCCACGTCCACCTTGCTTCAAATTATTGTATGTTGTATAAATATGTATATACTGTTAATGTTTAGGTTAAGTATGGTTAAGGGTAAATTATAGAAAGCTGAATATTTTGTTAAGGAATTTATGGTACTTTATTATACACAACAAAAACTCGCATCCTTTGTCTACCCTTTTATAGTCCGATTGTCTTTGTTTTTTTATTGTTGTTGCCGGTTGGGATCTGGGTAGACTTTTAACTATATGCTAAATCCCCAACTCGTAACAATATACATATATATATGTAACCGGTCGGAATTTACTGGACTTTAATTTCTCACTTGACTTGGGGTTTATTAAAAATTAATAGATGGTAATGGCAGTGGAAGCGCCCCTTTGAGAAAAATCCCGAACCAGCACAAGAACACTTAAATCTACTAAACAAAATGAATTGTCCGTGACCCGTGGAAGGATAGCGTCTGTGACTGGGATGAATGAGACACACTGTAAAATTTAGACACTTATATTCCCTCCAACACTACAAACACAATCAAATAATGGCACACCAATATGCGCACCTCTTAACTTAAACTTAAAACACTACTCTGGGGAATAAAAGTTATACATGATATAGAAATTATTAGAAACACAGGCAACAATAAATTTGAAGTATTAAGAAATGTTGCTTGCACACATGAAACAGGCCTTAAGGGCTTTCACAAAATAATATCAGTCACTTAGGAAATGGTATTAAAAAATAAGAAATTAACTACTCTACAATGAATAGGCCTTAAGGGCTTTCAACAAAATAATATCAGTCACTGAGGAAATGGTAATAAAAAATAAGAAATTAAATACTCTACAATGAATAGGCCTTAAGGGCTTTCAACAAAATAATATCAGTCACTGAGGAAATGGTAATAAAAAATAAGAAATTAAATACTCTACAATGAATAGGCCTTAAGGGCTTTCAACAAAATAATAGCACCCCAACAGATCCACACTTCCTAACCTAACTTAACCACTACTCTGGGGAACAAGGTTATACCTGAGATCAGAATTATGAAGAACAATTAGATGCATTAAAAGAATCAAATCACAGTATCACTCTGGTTCCACTTAATGGCACAAACATTCAAAAACAATACTATCAAAATTATTTAGGACTATTAAACTACACACGTCAAGATAATATCAGTCTGAGGAATGGTGTTAACTACACCCGTAATAAGGAAGATAAAATGTTCCTCTAGGTATCTCCTAGAGTCCTAGACTCACGGTCTCAGTGTGTGACCATTAATATACTTAGATAGCCTCAGTGTACTCCCAGTGCGTCCATGGGCAGGAAGAGAGTGTGAGCCAATCAGACCTTGTGCAGTTGAGAGGAGCTTTAGCTTCCCGTTA